CAATGCATTCCTGTATGATCGCGTATGCAGTCTGTGAGATGCAGAGTTTATTTTTTATTTTTCAATTTAATGCCAAGATTCAATGAGTTTTTGCTGAAGTAAAGTTTTCCAATATTGAGGTAATAAACCTTTACATTTGTTTAAAGTGGCAGATTTTGCTCTGTTTCTGTATGATAAACTGGCGATAAACACAACTATGATGGGGTTCCTATGACCCCCCCCCCCCCAAAGTTCCAGTTTCTCGGCACAGACGACGATCGGTTGACCCTCAGTCACCTCTAATGGGTAAACCATTTTAAGTATATTGACCTCGTCATTTGTATTATTCCTTAATAAATATCACCAAACAGCCAATAAAATATTTATTATACAAAGTGTGTAAATAGTAATTATGTATTGAGCATGTGCCAGGAAGGGACTTGAACAACTTTAGCAGAATTCCAAGATGGCAATTCACATGTACAGTAAAATACAGTAAAGTAAAATAGCAATTCTGAGAAAAAAAAAACTTTCTTATTTGTATTCATCAATAAACACAGCTTCATAGGACTATAAAAACTTATCTAGAATCTGATATAACATGGTTTACTACAGTTATTGCTAACACTCGTGGTAACACTCCAGTACCTGAATGGTCTGGTTACCTGACTGGTATTACTAGCATGATTGTTCATGAGCCAGGACATTCAACAAGATTTTCATTTGGCCCATTGATAGATTCACCACCTTCCCATCCTGATACTGTGACAACAATCTTGTTTATTGAAGATTTCATGAAACAGAATGATGTACCGTACACTCATGTATCTGCCAATATGCAGCTGTACAAGGTAGTGATGCAGATTCAATGGTCTTTCCCTGACAAATGGAATAATCTCGTAGTGCGTCCTGGTGGTATGCACACACTGATGTCTTTCTATTGGTTGCATTGTTACTCTGAAGAATAATAGTGGCCTGGAGGCAATTCTTGGTGTGGCATTCAAGGGTGTTGTTCAGATGCTCAATGGAAAGGCATGGCCCAAGGCACTCCGAGGATTGAGGATGGTCACAGCAGCACTACTAGAACCATTGATTCTCACAGGAAAGTTTACTTTGGAAGACCTGGAAGATGAGTTTGACAGTGTTCGCAGTTCTTCACGTACAGGTCGCCTTTGGATAGACTGTCTGATTACACCTGTCATAATCCAGCACTTGTTCCTCTGTGCGGAAAGGGAGGGAGATTGGTTGCTCCATGTTTATTGTCTGCAGTGTATGTTGCCATAATTCTTTGCAGCAGGCCACTGGAATTATGCACGATATATTTTGTGGCACATTTGTGACATGTCTACATCATTACCAGAAGTGGTACAAGCTGCTTTCCTGAGAGGTGAACATGTTTGTCGACACCGTCGTGGAGTGTGGAATTCACTTTTCCTTGACCAATTTGGTGAACAAATCTACATACGATATGGAAAGGCCAAAGGAGGGTTAGTAGAAAAGACCCTTTCTGAAGAACAAGTAGCTGGTTGGATACTTTCTCACCCCCTATGCAATAGTCTATCTCTTGCTTGTGACAAAATGTATGATGAAGCGCTTGATGAAGAACATGGTATGGAACTAAATTCTCACAAAGAAGAGGGAAAAAGAAGGAAAGAACTAGATGCCTCCGACAGGAATTATTGCAGAACTAAAGCAGTACGGTAATCCTCTTACCACACAACTAGGCGATGCACTCATCAATATTGTTAGTGTCCGTGTTGCTCCAGATACTGTGAATGTAGATAACGCACTTGTCATTGGTCAGCAAATGGTTGCCGAATTCTCAGCAAAATTGCTGGAAGGATTTCATACTCCACTGAGAAAGAAAGTAATACCATGGAGACTATGAAGAAAAGCACTAAAATAGGAGATACTAATGTCTATGACATGGAAAAGTTGTATGCACGCCTGCTTGTTATCTCCCAGAAAAGAGACGTCCACCTGCCTGATCTTTTTCAGTACGAGCTCTCACCAGTATCTTCTTCAATCTTTGATGAACATGGAGATATGCGGAAAGGAGTGAAATCAGTTCTCGTGACAAAGTTGGCCGTGTTTGCTTCTACACATCTTTCACCTGTAGACATGGAAATAGTGGATGGAAATGAAGCTCTCTATCATACACCTTGGTCAAAATTGGGAACTGTAGAACAGTTCTCATAAAGCTTTTTCCAGCGTTTTAATAGACCATATGACATTTATGTAATTTTGATAAATACAT